CTGTGGAGCGGGATTTCTTTTCTAAAGGACTTTTCGAGGTTCACCTTGCGGCCTATAATAATCGAGGCCTCAACTGTATAACGAGAGTCAACGGGCAAAGATGTCTGCGCCCCAAGCAGGAAACACGTGACTTTAGACATCGTAAAACATCTTTCATTGACTATTTTAGCTGAACATGTTCCTGCCTGTTTCTTTCAGCTACTTGTGATAATGGCATCAAGACTGTGCCCCCATAAGAAACCAATTACTTAAAAACCATAGTAGTTGATGTAAGGCAGTACAGTGTTTGGCTCACAGCTGTACATACACTGTGTACATTCAGGAAGTAACCGTTGAAGATGAGATACACCTTTTATTGATCCCTGCAGGGAAATTCAAATGTCAAAGCAGCACAAAGCAAGATTGAAACACAGAGAACAGGTACAAGTTCACTTAAGGAATTAAGTGAAAACGGTTTACATTTATACAAATATTTTAATAATTATTATTTTTCTAAATATATCTCAAGTGCGTTTTGACTTTTATGTAGTCCTCATAAATGCTGTAGTCCAATCAACATTTCTATGAAAATAATTTGAAACAAGCTCATGGTGTTATATATATATATGTGTTGGTCATCATTGTGATCACTGGAGATGAAACACGCTGACAGAGTTCCTCCTCGACTTTCATGTTCTTTTATTGCACAGGTTATAAAATCCCGGTGCTTGAAAATCTTGGAGCTACTCTGGACCAGTTTGACACGGTTGACTTCTCTGATAATGAAGTCAGAAAACTGGATGGCTTTCCTCTGCTCAAAAGACTGAAGACATTGCTAGTGAACAACAACAGGATTTGGTAAGTTTTACCTGCAGCCCCAGAATGATGCAATATGATGTTCAAATAAATGTAGGGCTGGCAGTGTTGACACAAATGATTCATGTTGGCATTACAGGAAGTGGGCTAAATGTTCAGCTGTAAATCAAAGCCATATGTGAGACATCCCAAGCACTTTTATTAGAACAGTTATGATATTATTTAATATTGATAATCTGTGTTTCATACAATCATTAATTTAGGACTGCTTTAGCAAGTTGTGTAATAACTTAAAGTGAAAAATATTGCTATTTTCTTGGTTTATAAACCAGGCCGCTAGGTCTGTCTCTGGTGAAGGGATCTCTAGTTTGGATTGGACACCAGCCAGTACACGGCAGCATGACTAACTGTATGGAATGTTTCTCCAGTCGCATAGGTGACAATCTGGAACAATCTCTGCCGAGTCTGACAGAACTGGTTCTTACAAACAACAATATCCAGGAGCTGGTGAGTGTCATCAGCTCCCACCAGAAACCTTTACACCATCAAACTGATCTTTTAGCCTGGAACAATTGATGATTCTCTATTCTAAAACAACTATTCCTGTCTGTGTGATTATTGTACGTATTTTTTATTTCCAATCTGTCCTTTTGGAAAATCTACTTGTTAATTAATATGGTTTCCAATGCAGGGTGACCTGGACCCCCTGGCCTCAGTGAGGACACTGACCCTCCTCAGGTAGAGATCATCTGCTGTCATATCATGTGGTTCTTGAAGTGTTGGATGTCTGCTGAATTCTGATCTTGTATGTTTCCTCACTGAATGACTGAATCTACAGTTTGTTAAGGAATCCAGTGACCAACAAGAAGCATTACAGGCTCTATGTCATCAACAAAATCCCACAGATCCGTGTGCTAGACTTCCAGAAGGTAAAGCTAAAGGTAAGTGCAGAGGAGCAAGGATGTTGTGCACATTGTAAGATCCAGCCTTCAAGGTGATGGAAGCTAAAACTGGTGAATTTATTTTTCCCTTTTAAACATTTCTGGGGTGATTAAGTAAGGGATCATGTCAGCCAGGTTCGCTGCACATTATACCCCTTATTACACGGCTACCTGCTAAATATATCAACTATTTGACTTGACTTAACAATACATTTTTGATTTGACCAATCGGAATCATGTATTCAACCGAGCCGTGTAATAACACTGTTTAACTCTTCTAACTTGAAGTGGACATCCTGCTGAATGTCAGTCGATGTTCCTGCCTGGCCTTGCCTCCCTTGGCTGACGGCTTAGTATGTATTTAATGACGCTTTTTGATTCTTGATATTGTTGTAGGAACGTCAGGAGGCAGAGAAAATGTTCAAGGGCAAACGAGGTGCTCAACTTGCAAAGGATATTGCCAAGCGAACCAAAACGTAAGATGAAAGTCCACGTTAGACAGCAGCTCCTAAGAAGCACTGCACCCTGGCTCATAGATCCACATCTGTCACCTACAGTGTATCTGTGTACATGAGAATACACGGTGATGTGTCAAAAACACACACTTCCCTTTGAAAAGCTATTAATGTCTCAAGTGAGCTCAGTGTTGCTCAGGACTGCTGTCTATGGACAATGTATCAGATATTTGACTGAAGAAAAGATACTATACATGAGGTGGCTACATTGGTTGCTAGGTCAGAGAAGCCTGTGTGTCCACGTGCTCTAAAGAGGTGTGTCGTTTCAGGTTCACTCCTGGAGGGCCCGCACAGCCGGAGAAGAAGAGGAGCGGGCCGTCTCAGGCTGACGTGGAAGCCATCAAGGTTCTGCCGTTGCCCCTGTTTTGTTAGGGGTCTTTATGTTTTCAGAGCTGAGATGGAATTGCCATTATTCATTTATCCACAATGTGAAATGGGATTTTTTTGTTTTGTTGCATTTAACAAAAAACAAAGATCAATTAATAATCTATTAAAAACCCTTTCAGTTTTTTAAACGTACACTTAATTTGCTGTCTTTTTCTGGAGGCTTCATTACGTTTGGCAACTTTCAAACTGAAAAGCTCCACATAAAGCCAGTGATGGTTCCTACAGTTGTAAAGGTCAAGAAAGAGCGCCTCAGCTTATTGTTGAACCTTTTATGAAAGGTCCATTAAACCTTCACCTTTTTAAGCGTGTCCAAATCAGCTTCTGATGTTGTATTTTTTTTTTTAATAAGGATACGTTTATTTGACTACTATAGAGATGAATTCAGTTTTCTTGCTGGCTGAATTTGAAGTGATACCTGAAAATATACATTGTGTAACTCCAGTGTGTTTGCATTTCAGAATGCCATCGCTAATGCGTCCTCATTGGCTGAGGTGGAGAGGCTGAAAGGGATGCTGCAGGCCGGTCAGATACCAGGACGAGATCCCAGACAAGGTCAGTGCTGACCCAGTACTTATTCAATGCTCCACTGACACTTTTAAAGCTGCTTTTAGACTAACGTCTTCAAAAATAAATCAAGAGCCACAGCCAGGGTAGGTAAGCTGTCAAGCATCGAGCAAAGAAATAAAGGTTATTGTACTATTCCACAAATTAAATCCAATATATAATAAATAGCCTACTCTCTATTTTTGGTATATTGCTCCTGTCTCTGTCTGTCTCTCTCTGTGTTTGTAGGGTTTTCTCTCAATTTTGAAAGATTGATGTTAATATGTGCACTTGTAAAATCATGTCCAGCTGGGACGGTGGAGGAGGAGGAGGAAGAGGAGGAAGAACAAGAAGAAGAAGAACAACAACAACAACAACAAGAAGAAGAAGAAGAACAACAACAACAAGAAGAAGAAGAGGGTGAAACGGCACAGATGGAGTCACACATGGGAGGAGGTTCTGGAGAAGAGATCAATGATGGCGAGGGAGAGGAGGACGAGGAGGACATGGAAGAAGAGCCTCAGGTTAATGGCTCCTGAGCACTTTGTTTTTGTTTTTTGTAGATTTTCACTGCAGTTTTATTTTGTAAACAGACATATTAAACTGATTGCTTATATTGATGTGTGGAACCATTTTCTTTAAGCAGTTAGCTGACAAACACCATTTAATGCATATTGAGCCCTTTTTAAAGAGGACATGTTCTGATAATTTTCAGGTTTCATAATTGTATTTTGCCTCTACTGTGACATGCTTTGATGGTCCTCTACTGTGACATGCTTTGATGGTCCTCTACTGTGACATGCTTTGATGGTCCTCTACTGTGACATGCTTTGATGGTCCTCTACTGTGACATGCTTTGATGGTCCTCTACTGTGACATGCTTTGATGGTCCTCTACTGTGACATGCTTTGATGGTCAACACAAAACGAAGCAAAAGTGGCGATGTTGAATCTAAATGATAAGCGCATGGAAAAGCATATAAACAAACAAGATCTAATGCATGCAACTAAAACAAATTGTACTTATATACATTTATTAAAGGGCAACAAGCCACAGCCTCAGATAAATGTTGGTGGTTTTAGGTTTGTTTTGCCAAACGATATCTGAAGAAGGCCACTGTGTCACACTTTTTATGCATTGCATATATCATGCTAATGTTCCACCCTGGGTGCTCAATGTATCAAGGCTGAGTCATTACCTGGGATTATCCACTCTCACTCCTGCATTTCCTGCTAATTTGTCAATATCAATACATTGAGATGCCCCAGAAATATACATGCATTCAACTAATGCAACTAAATGTTTAACATGCAAACCATAACTGTGACATGTGACTCAGTAACTCAATTCCTTTTTTAACAAGTCAAACCGTAGTTAAAGCATCTCAATGTTTTGAATGCAAACCAGATTTGTTTGTTTAGAGGTTGTTGTTTTTTTAAACAGAAAATATATTCCCATTGATGAGTGTGACTGGGCGGCTGTGACTCATTGTACCAATTAGAGGTTTGATGTCTACCCCCTGCAGCCCCAACATGCTCACTCTGGTTTTGATTGGTTTGTAATTTAATCCGTCCAAAAGCTGGTTGCTAAATTAAAGCAGTAGGCAAGTACATTCGGGAAGCAAACGGGGACAGAATTAGGCCCACTGTTCACAGAAAATTGGAGATCTATTGCAACAATGGTCTCTATATTATTCGCCTTTTTGTTTTTGCTAAATGACTAAAACAAACCAAATCCTGCTGTATGCCTGTTTTCACATCCATCTATACAATCACACCATTTTGTAACCAGGAGTCGCCTCTCATGGCCATGGAAAAGAAGGCAGGGTTGAGGCACTTCCGGATTGACTTCACTTAACATGCCGCAAAAACCATCGTAAAACGGGGTTAGCCCGATCAGCAGTGTTATCAAACGTCTCCGTCAAGGTTATTAAATACTCCCTTTTAAATAAAAATGTTTCGTTTATTCTAAACGAAAACGTAACGCCTCTAAAACGATTCCGAGCGTTCGACGGTAGTGCTAGGTTTTCCCACGGGGCGGAAACGCAGCACTAGGCCAACACGTCATCATAGAAGCTGCCAGCAAACATGGCGGACATGGGACCTCAGCACCGTCAGTGACTTCACAGCCGCTTGACACTTGCTCCGCAGCACAGTGCCTCAAACACCCCGACAGCTTCCTTTGAGTGAGAGAGATGGACGATGTGGAAGTCAGTGACGGAGACTCGCCCTACACGGTGGAGAAGGCGCCTCTCAGAAACCCGGACCTGACCCCCCTGAGCCTGAACGGTAACGTTACAGTGAAAACTTTATCTCCCTCACTATGAGAGCTGTATTTAAGGCTAAACGTTAGCATGGCGCTGCTTTTTAGCGGCTTATGTTTGTTGGGAGTTATACGTCATAACGTTGCTGTGAGAAACATTGTATATTTATAGCTGCTAACTATAACATTCCGTCCTGTGTAGACTATTTAATGCGCCACAGTCTCATTTATAGTCTCAGTGTATCTCACATCATGGTCAGTATAATCATCCTTCATGTTTCCTGCTGGCCTGTTAAAGTTGTTATTGTCCCACTGTCTCTTTGTTCACGTGATCTGGCCTATATGAAAGTTCCCCTGTCTCCATAGTGGGAGAGCTGCTGTCCCTGTATGGATGGTACCTGTTGTTCGGGACTCTGCTGGTCTACCTGCTCCTCCAGTACCTGAGCAGGAGGAGATCCAGCCAGCGCAGCCCCCCCCCACCAACACCGCAAGGTCAGCACCGGTTCACCTGCATACTAAGACCAGCTACAACAGACAAACATGATTCATCCCATATTCTATCACATTACATCCACTTTGAACAAGCTCCATCCTGTCCTCTGCAGCGTTGTCCCTATAACAACTATTTGTTATCAGAAGTAACAGTGGAGAGATTCTGGAACGAGACATGTGGATATTGTATAGGGGGGGGGGGAATATTTTTCAAGTTTTTAATACTCTTATCAACATATGAGTGGACAAATATGCTCAATGCAAATGTTTGTTTATTATCATTTGAACAATGATATTTTTTGTTATCCTTTTCCCCTGCAATGCCTTGGTAGCTGCATGCAAATTGGCGCAATTTTATTAGGCTATATGTAACGCCCAATTTGCATATCAATGTGGCGATTGTGATGTTATCAGATACACATTTGACTGAAGTGTCTCCCCTTAAGTACAGTACATTAGCCTACGCCCATGATACATTGCCTTAGCTAAACCTTGAGCTAACTTATCCATTAGCCACCACCTTAGTTCACTATTTGTTTTTTGGCTTTTGGCTAAGCTCTGTAAACTCGAGGCACTGGCAGTTTAGTTATTTGTTCATCACCACTCACCTTCAAACAAGCCAAGAAAAGCCGGCATAACATGGGACTTTAAGGTGGGAGGTGCTGCGTCTGTCTGTCTGAAGGGACTGACGATGACTGTCCGCACCGCTGTGCACGAGACGTGGGGGGAAGGGAGGGTAGAGAGAGCATCGGAACTTCACAGTCTAATCTCCCGACCTGATATTTTTATTTTCTATTCAATCAATATATTTTTGGAAAGTGTGCGCAAACAGGAGTAGATACATATTCATTTATTAAAAATACAAATTTAAAAATAACTTTCTCTGGAGGAAGAAAAAGGGCAGGGGCTCAAGCCCACTTTGTCTGTGTGCACGTGCCTGGTCAGAATAATGCGCTGTGATGTGCAGTCGACACGTTGGATGCGATCCGAATGATCTAACGCAGCCCCTCGTCCTCCACAATGTTAAGCTGTAGCCCCCCATTTAGCTATCGCTATTGTTGTCCAGGCGTCTCCCGGCAAACGTTCAAGCGTGGTCTTCCGCAAGCGAGCAAAAATTTGCGTTAGCGCATTGACAGCCCTAATATTGTATACAAAAGATGGGTTAAGTTACCACCGTTCTTGTACTGTATGTAAATGAATGCTCCAGACTACACTACGACGTGCTCTATTCAACCTTTGTTCATACACCAGAGGTTTACATATTCACGTCTGGTAGGAAGGAAAACTTCACTCAAACCGCTTGGCTGCGCACGCATACTCTTACGGGCGTCCACACTGCGGCGTGCGTTGAAAGCTTCACCACTCACTTTGAATGGGGTAACGTCACTTTTCGCCGAACTGCATTGTGGGAAGCGGAGCTTTGCTGGCGTGGCTCGCTGCAAAAGTCGAGCACTGTTCAACTTTTGAAGCCTCGGCAGAAGCGTCAGCCAATCGAATCATATGCCAGTACAAGCTCTAGCCAATCAAACCGCTGCTTGTGTGTCAGGGGCGGGAGATTCATGTTGTTGGTTGAGTTTCAGACACGCCCACCGGCAAGCTTCAACGCACGCCGCTGTGTGGACGGGCCGTTACTACGTCACATCACGTGGGCCAACCATAAACAAGCATAGATAAACAGTTTTATCCACATATTCCGTCAGAATATTACAGACTGCTCCTTCGCTTCTCATGGAGACCTGCACACACCCAGAGATGACTCACTGTTCACCTTCCTGCCCCTGTAAGCAGGGGGTCTTCTTATGCTAATGCCCTAAACACTCCTGTTTATCCACTCGCTTTTTAGCTTACAGTCCTTCCCAGCAGAGACGTGCACACATGGACTCTAGGTAGTGCTTGAGCACCTGCCCGTTTTGCCCTCTGACAGCAATGTGCCCTTTTGAAAGTTCGTTTTTTACAGTTCTTTATTTAATTGTTTTACAGTGTACTGTATGTGGCTCATGGTAACATCGATCAATTCTGGATTAAAAGCTTCTAATATATACAACAATGCCCCAAATGCGCGATGTAATTTTGTCAGACATCCCCACACGTGCCCCGCGGCACTCCCGTACGTGCCCTGGCTGCAGCCCCTCCCTTCCCTGCTCTCAACGTGAACGCGCAGAGCTGACAGTCAGTCACTCAGTCAGACAGGCCACGGCGGGTGTGTGGTGCAGCAGCACGCAGCAACACGATTAAAAGTGCCCTAGTGACGACCAAGTCAGTAACCACCAGGTAACAAATACAACGAGTGTATTGTTTAGTCCCCTAAATCAGATGCCAAACTAAACTAAAACTTTACTTCTTTTCTTGCATCCATCCATTTAGTCTCGTTGTGCACTTTTGAAAATAGCAGATCTACACGCTCACAATGCGTCATTATGCTAGGGCTGAAGTGATTAAATGTATGTTTTGTAATAATCTTAATCAAAATCTACATAGTAACTAGTAACTAAAGTTTTCAAATAATTGTAGTGGAGTAAAAGTAGAATATTTGCATCTGAGATGTAGTGGAGTAGAAGTAAATGTATTGAAAATGGGAAATACTCAAGTAAAGTAAAAATGCCTCAAAAAGTACAATATACAGTAAGTAGTAGTAACCTTATAGGTTTACATTAATGCTGCTGTTAAATGTTTCTAGGAGATGAACCCTTAATTATCATGCACAGCAGAGCAGTACATTGATTTAGCTCATTTGCATTTACCACTTGTAGAATAATGCCAAGAAGAGACAGGATAAGAAAAGAAAAGAGAGCTACAGCAAGCAGCTCTCTGCTCTCCTGGGTAAAGCAGCCTGAGCCTACCAGCAAGGAAGTTGAGGATGCAGATGTGCCTGATGAACCCTTACCCATCATCAATGATTAAGATGACGAAGAAAGGTCAGAGTCAATACCAGAGTCATGTTAAGGGACAAACTGTCTGTCTAGAGCCCTTTCATGCTCAGATTTGAACTGTGATAATAATAGTAGTAATAATAATAAATAATAATATAATTGTATTGAGAGGCCCACAATTTATTTTAACCACACTAAGTGATACTAAATCAGACATGAAGCTACTTACCAAATGACAAAAAAACAACAACTATGTGGTAGGGTGTTGAATTTTGGCCATGACAGTTAAAGTCTGGTGAGTCTTAATTTTATCATGCATTGCATTGCCCAAATAATTGAAATAAACATCATATTCTATATTGTTTGTATTCTAGGCAGCTACAGCAGGCTCAGGGAAGCAGCCCCCTGCTGTCCTGTAATAGTCCATCTAAGATGAGGGAGACAAATCCATAGAAAATATCTCTGAGTCAGACACAGATGAAGCAGAAATGTCAGAGTCCAGAGCAGCAACATGTTCAGAAACAGTGCTCTCTGATGATGACCAAAATGAGGGAGCGATGGAAGGAGTAACCAAAAAGCGAAAAGAAACTAACATTATCCGGCAAATTTCCGCGCACAATTTCGCGCGCGGGCGAACGCCAGACCGCCACGACAACTCAGAAGGTACCCTTTTTTTTTTTCTTGAGCACCTGCCCCTATAAATGTCTGTGCACGCCACTGCTTCCCAGTGTGAGTTCCACCACTTCCTGTTCCCAACTTAATCTTAACTTGTTGTTTACTTCTTATCCAATAATTTAATCGAGCTAAACAGAAAACAAATGTTTAGTGTTCCTTGATGTACTATACATACATCGTATCATCCGATTCATCCCCTTATATAGTGTAGGGTACCCTGACATACTGTATCATCCTCTTATATAGTGTAGGGTACCCTGACATGCCGTATCATCCCCTTATATAGTGTAGGGTACCCTGACATGCTGTATCATCCCCTTATATAGTGTAGGGTACCCTGACATGCTGTATCATCCTCTTATATAGTGTAGGGCAGTGGTTCCCAAACTTTTTGTGCCCAAGGCACACCAAAGGACAAGTAAAAATCTCAAGGCACACCTATTGTGCAAAATAGCCCTTATAACACGTGTTATCACTCATATCATGTACAATATCTGTAAATGTGCATAATTATTTACTAATGCCAAATAAAATGTGACAAAGACAACTATATTACTCATGAAATATTTATTAACGAAATATTTCAGAAATTAATTTGAAACTTTATCAAATTAGGCTTCATCAAAGCAGCAACACACTCATTTAAACCAGACAGCTCACAACATTAAAAATGAGGCAAAGGAAACTCAGCAGAAATTCAGCACAGAGAACTGTCAATGCAAGGAAGCTGCATTGTCCATGGTCCTGAACTACAAATTATAAATGTAACATTTCAGCAATCAGCATTGAAACATGTGCTATTGTAAATATGTTGCCGACTTACAAATTAGTGAGATACATGTGCCTGTCGGGGCGCACAGAATTTTTTAATCCTTGGTGGCACTGAGGAGAGGGCCACTCGCAAATCCTGTTCAACAGAGAGCCGTGACCTCCTGTTGTTCTTCATGTAAACCAGAGTAGAGAACGCCAACTCCAGAGATGGGGTCGTTACTAAATGTTTTTAATATATTACATATTACTTTAAAAAAAGTAATATATTAAACTACTTCGTTACTATCTACATAAAGTAACTCGTTACTTTACTCGCCGAGCACGTACGTACTGCGCATGCCTGAGTGGCAATAACTTTCCTTACCAGCAGGCGGCGGTAGTGTGTATTCGTCATTCAAAACAGGCAACAACCGGAAGACAGAGAAGAAGAACAGACTACGTGATATCAACAAACAACAAATAGCTGTGCGGTAGCTTCACCTTAGCATGTGTTCTTTGCAGGTGTTTGTTGAGGTTTGACCACGTGGTGTTTCCAGCAGTGGATAACAGCTTCTGGCCTGGACACAGTTTGCACCTCACCGTCACATTCCTGTAATAATAATGGGCATACCTCCACCCCTCGAAAATTATCGCTGACTCAGCCATGTTTATGCAGCACTGCACGTGGAGATGTGGACGCGCAAGTCGCGCAGATTACGTACATATAAACCTACAAAGTACTGATATAGTAAATTAAAAAATAATTATTTTTGTGTAGTTGTATATTGCAATAATAACGTATGGTTGTCACAAAATCCCACGGCACACCCGGACTTGCCTCACGGCACACCAGTGTGCCGCGGCACACCGTTTGGGAACCACTGGTGTAGGGTATCCTGACATGCTCTATCATCCCCTTATATAGTGTAGGGTACCCTGACATACTGTATCATCCTCTTATACAGTGTAGGGTACCCTGACATACTGTATCATCCTCTTATATAGTGTAGGGTACCCTGACATACTGTATCATCCTCTTATATAGTGTAGGGTACCCTGACATACTGTATCATCCTCTTATATAGTGTAGGGTACCCTGACATACTGTATCATCCTCTTATACAGTGTAGGGTACCCTGACATACTGTATCATCCTCTTATATAGTGTAGGGTACCCTGACATGCTCTATCATCCCCTTATATAGTGTAGGGTACCCTGACATACTGTATCATCCTCTTATATAGTGTAGGGTACCCTGACATGCTGTATCATCCCCTTATATAGTGTAGGGTACCCTGACATACTGTATCATCCTCTTATATAGTGTAGGGTACCCTGACATACTGTCTCATCCTCTTATATAGTGTAGGGTACCCTGACATGCTGTATCATCCTCTTATATAGTGTAGGGTACCCTGACATACTGTCTCATCCTCTTATATAGTGTAGGGTACCCTGACATGCTGTATCATCCTCTTATATAGTGTAGGGTACCCTGACATGCTGTATCATCCCCTTATATAGTGTAGGGTACCCTGACATACTGTATCATCCCCTTATATAGTGTAGGGTACCCTGACATACTGTATCATCCTCTTATATAGTGTAGGGTACCCTGACATACTGTATCATCCTCTTATATAGTGTAGGGTACCCTGACATACTGTATCATCCTCTTATATAGTGTAGGGTACCCTGACATACTGTATCATCCCCTTATATAGTGTAGGGTACCCTGACATGCTGTATCATCCCCTTATATAGTGTAGGGTACCCTGACATACTGTATCATCCTCTTATATAGTGTAGGGTACCCTGACATACTGTATCATCCTCTTATATAGTGTAGGGTACCCTGACATACTGTCTCATCCTCTTATATAGTGTAGGGTACCCTGACATACTGTATCATCCTCTTATATAGTGTAGGGTACCCTGACATACTGTCTCATCCTCTTATATAGTGTAGGGTACCCTGACATGCTGTATCATCCTCTTATATAGTGTAGGGTACCCTGACATGCTGTATCATCCCCTTATATAGTGTAGGGTACCCTGACATGCTGTATCATCCCCTTATATAGTGTAGGGTACCCTGACATACTGTATCATCCTCTTATATAGTGTAGGGTACCCTGACATACTGTCTCATCCTCTTATATAGTGTAGGGTACCCTGACATACTGTATCATCCTCTTATATAGTGTAGGGTACCCTGACATGCTGTATCATCCCCTTATATAGTGTAGGGTACCCTGACATACTGTATCATCCTCTTATATAGTGTAGGGTACCCTGACATGCTGTATCATCCTCTTATATAGTGTAGGGTACCCTGACATACTGTATCATCCTCTTATATAGTGTAGGGTACCCTGACATGCTGTATCATCCCCTTATATAGTGTAGGGTACCCTGACATACTGTATCATCCTCTTATATAGTGTAGGGTACCCTGACATACTGTATCATCCCCTTATATAGTGTAGGGTACCCTGACATACTGTATCATCCTCTTATATAGTGTAGGGTACCCTGACATACTGTATCATCCTCTTATATAGTGTAGGGTACCCTGACATGCTGTATCATCCTCTTATATAGTGTAGGGTACCCTGACATGCTGTATCATCCTCTGGCCCAAACCAATGACAGAGGCTCTCTCAGTGCGTCACTAGATCATTTACAAATAGTTCTACTGATACATTTAACTTGTAGTGAGTGAGAGGAACAATAAATGCAGTTGCTATTCTGAACAAATAATCTATGGAATTAAGTTTTTTTTTCTTTCAACAATAGTTACAAATGCTTTTTGCAAGTGAGTAATAGATGTTGTGATGTTTCTTTCATAAAGATTCTGCCTTAGTGGCCAGGAGACAAGAAGCCATGGAAGCAGCTCGGATGAAGATGCAAGAGGAACTTGATGCCAAGGCTTCCATCTTCAGGGAGAAACAGAAACAGGTGCAGTAATAAATACAAATAAAAAGTATGTTTGAAAGAAAGATTGTCCATGATGTAACACTTGAACTCAATGTGTGATGTATTTTTGTGAACAGCAAGAAGAAGAAAAGCGGAGGCAGAAAATCGAGATATGGGACAGTATGCAACAGGGAAAGAGTTACAGAGGAACAGCCACACCTTCTCAGGTGAGAGTCGACCTCTTCATCAGACTGTTCCCTGGTGGACACATTATGAGATGGATTTGAAATGTTAAACAGTTCGGAATGCACTCAATTTTACAAATCATCTTCTTATATTTATTCATCCACATTAAAGACACAACATGTTGGTTATTACAACATGCTTTTACTATTCTCCACTGCCAGGGAAGTAATGATAAGGTAATTATACTAAGTATATGTCTGTGAAAATTCCTCTGGCTCAGTATCTAGCTCAGTGGTCTTCAATATGTTTTACATGCGAGACAAAGTCAAGAGGAGAGCCATTTGTACCGCAAAGTATGAAAAGCTGCATACAGTTATAATAAGCATGTCTGCTTATGAATCTGTCATCCCACCCAGAACATACAATATGCAATGCAGCCAACCAATACTGTCATGTAAAGCGTCTTTGAGCACTCGGAAAAGCGCTATATCAAATACATTCATTATCATTATTAATAAGCAGAAATCAGTTTCTTAGTGAGCTACTCAGAAGACAGCGGTTGGTACTCACCCCACACGAAGCGTGGTGTTAATAAGTGCAGTCTCCCTCACTGTCCTCCTCAGTGTCTCCTTCACTGTCCTCTAGTTCCTCTTCTTGCATAGGTAGATGATGAAGATGCTGCAGTCTTCCTCACTGCCTCCGATTTGTTTTCTCCAAAACGTGTTGCCAAAACTGTGAAGTCCTTGCATTTCCTGAGGCCAAGTTGGAGGATCAAATACTAAGAAATGATCACATGACTGGAAGTCATATCTGATTCCAGATGTGGGAAGTAACTAAGTACACTTATTCAAGTACTGTACTTAGGTACCATTTTGAGATACTTGTACTTTACTTGAGTATTTCTATTTTATGCTACTTAGTACTTCTACTCCACTACAGTTCAGAGGTAAATGGTGTACTTGTACTCCACCACATGTATTTAACACCTTTAGTTACTTTACAGCAGGGATGGACAACTTTGATGGTGGTGGGGGCCACATCATTGATGTACTGGCCACCAGGGGGCTGCAGATTCACTTGGAACACACACACACAAATTCCATGTATTGTATGTAATTATTAACAAATATACTAAGTCTGACATCTTCATTGACATTTTACAATCTTTCAGGGAACATCCTCTAATAATCTCACTAAACAAATATCAGTTCACATAAGTGGCATGTTTGTATTGAACAGGTTATTTAACAGTGGAATAAAACTATTTTAAACTATTGGAAAGCACGGAACATGTGTGTGCATTAAGATGAACCATTAGATGACATAAACATGAAGTCATGAACACTAACCCAGACATTAGCTGTCTAACTTGAACCTAAGACACTTGTAGCCTGTCTCTGCTCACGCACAATGAGGGGAATGTCAACACAGACACCTGTCAACCCGCACTCTGCTGTTCCTCAGCGCCGCTCCCCCTCCCTCCCACTGAAATTATGAATGAAAAGCGTATAGTATCATAGATAACACGGCAGGGTCCGTGACAGTTTGATCTGATTTCAAATAAACAAAGTCTTGGTTTTTAGAATATTAAACTTGTTTTGCCAAATTCAGATGATAAATACAACCTTTAAGCTTGTAAAGGCATAATTACAAGAGGCAACTTAACGTCACAGCAGGCATAACAACAGCCGGTGTTTCTTGTGAGGGTTTCCCCGGGAAACAAACACAATACACACAAACACGTCACAGATTATTACGCGGTATTTGAAATCATGTACGCAGCTCGCGACGTAACTAGGAGTCTAGTGGACGGTATCAGTACTAAAAGTAAAAAAATAATATATATAGCCTATATATTTTAAATTAATTACATTGTTTATAAATTAATCTGAGGGCCGCAAAAAGAGGAGGTGGGGGGCCGCCATTTGCCCATCCCTGCTTTACAGATGTGGATTAAAGGTGGGGCAGGTCATTTTGGAGAAACCAAACACACACGAACGCGCACATGACCAATGAGGGCACGAGATAAGTGTGTGCACAGATGGAAGGCTGACAGGCAGGTAGGCCATCCAGTTACTTTAGCCGGGCCGGCTCAGATGATTGGTCGTGCTTTTTACAGCGCCACGGGTTCCACAGATGAATTATTTTTTAATGGATTTATTGTCAAAGCACTTCAGATATTCATTGCTATCGGGATGTTAAGAGCATTCCATGGAATATAACAAGTGTATCTCGAGCCGGTTTCTCAAACTTACCTATCCCACCTTTAATGATGTGAAATATAATCAAGTGTTGAATCAGACTTTAGTTCCACCTGGAGTAAATCCACCAGCTACCCTGCAGTACACAAAGTACTTCAAACTAGCTGCACCTTTACCAGCTTTGAGAACACTTTCATGATCAATCATTATAAAACATATCATATATATTATTCTGAAATGGACCAATCAAACAATGACTACTTTTACTGTCGCTACTTTCACTATATTTTGATGAGAATACTTTTCTACTTTTACTTGAGTAACATTTTGAATGCAGGACTTTTACTGTAACAGAGTATTCCTACACAAGATCTGAGTACTTCTTTCACCTCTGTCTGATGGCACCAACTCTGTCGTCCAGTGATCTAAGCCTCTGCCTCCTGCAAAGCTTCACAGGTCCGTCGGTTATGGCCTGCGGCTCGGCCAGCTCTCAGTTCAATCAGTCATAGAAAGTCCGAAGATTTTTTGCAGGGAGCAAAACGCCAAAGGGGCTGCTTAATGTATTTTAGTTCTCTGCACTGAGTGTTGACAAGAATCACGTGTAGACGAAATACGTGTTCTGTTTTGATGACCTATCAGGTACGCAAAGGCGTGCAGTGACACAAGTGATGTTACGCTTTTCAGATGTTGCCACACATGCGTACCTGCGTTATGTGCACCCCTGTCTATCACCTGTCATCTCATGAGGAACCCTGATTTAACTCATGGAGCAGCCAGGAAGACAAAATAAAAAGGGTACCACTTGGCAATAACACTACCCTTATAAAGGGTTTAGGAATAGTTTGTAATTAATTCATTAATTAGGTTGTGAACACTTTATAAATCATTAACAAGCTTTTATAAGCCATGAGATAAACAGGGCGACTGTGACCGGTTGCTTGCCAAATAGTGAGCCCACATTTATCTGTACCGCTAAGCCTTGTATTGGCTATTTAGCTTACTTCGTCTTCTTCATCAGCCAGCATCCTTGGTATCTGTTGCTCACTGACTTGATTCTCCCTAAGTAGCCAATGTAAGGCTTAGTCATCTTGCCAAATAGTGAGCCTGTGTTGATGTATGGAAGCTATGTTAGAACTGGTTAATAAATGGTTCTTAATGATTAATAAAGTGTTTGCAACCTAATTATAAACCCTTAATGAAACCTTTATAAGGGTAGTCTTAGTGTAAAGTGGTACCAGAAAAAGAGTACCGGTACAATAATTAATATTCCGGGGCGTCTTCTTCCTGCACTTTTTTTGAAGTGATCCGCTGCCACAACAACACTTCTAATGTGAACTACACCAACATGTAAGGGATAATGTGCAGCAATCTGGTCATTAAGAAGAAAAGAACACGGCTACTTACAAAACAAAATGGATGTATTCATATCCTCGATTCTGTCACCAAGCTGTCTGTGTCTTTTGTCTTTACTAGGGGAGTTCCAGCATCATAAATTAAAGTGTGCTGCTCTCCACCATGTAAAAACGAATATTGACAAATTGTTCCACGTGTTTTCTGATGGAGGAGAACAAATGTGTTGTTTTGGCCACAACTAATTAAATGAACCTCTTTCTGGTTGTTATGACTGCACATAGTCACTTGATCAGAGCTTCCTCAGTACCAGTATGCCATTTGATAAAGTCCAAGTTGACCATCAGAATTGAGTATTGAACTCAGCTAATAAGTGGGATGACATCACTCCATTTGGTGTGCCCTGACTCTGGATGTTTCTCCCTGCAGCCCCCTGCAGAGGCCAGCTCCTCCGCTGCAGCCAGACCAAAGCCGGACAAGAAGCCCCTCCGCAGTGCAGGTGTGTATTTCTCAGGATGGAACACTGAGTGGGGGTCATTAAAGGCTGCTCCTTTGTTCCCAAGACAACAAGTGCCATAAAACAAAGCTACACGAGTACACGCACACAAACCACATTAATGAGGCATTCTGTATACTGTTCCAGTATGAAGCTGTGTGGAGCACAGGGTGCTTCACTTTGATATGCCTAACCCACACGAATACATGTCACATAGGGCAACATACATGTACCAGTGCTTGAAAGATTATTAACTAAAAGTCCCATTTGTTTAAACGATTGTGCATCTGTGTGTATTTAGTACTAGGCATGTCAAGATCCCAGAATATTATTGGATACGGCTACTAATAACAGTGACATTCCACGGTTCCCAATACCAATTGAACATCACAGTGAAACACTCGTTGTATATGTGTACACCACTCCCATACCACCTGATGGTTGCCCTCCCAGCCTGCAGTACACATGGATAAAGATGTGCTGAGTCAGTACTGACACAATCTGATTCTGAGGGCATCAGGATGGACATCTGAAACATGTTGAGTTAAAAAGCCCAACGGGTGTGGGTAGCTCCTTCTTGGTTTCCTCTCTTCAGCTCTACAGTTTAAACCAGGATGTTTGTACGTTTTTAGTATGCAGAATCCTGTTTAGCAATTATTCGTTGGTTTTTCTCTGCATTTGAAAATGCACGTGTGGCGGTAGAGCCTCAGAAGGGTCATTTGCAAGGTACTTGAACCACAGGTGCAGTAGTAGGGTGTGTACAGACACATAAACGTGTGTGTTGCAGCCTTTCTTACCTCCTTCTCTCGGTGTGTTTCAGACTACAGTCCCCTGAGTGGACAGGAGGGGGGCTCCTGCACCTTCAGGCCTGGCAGGAGGGGTCCGTCAGCTGGTGGATGAGGTTAAAGAAGGTCAGAGATGTTGATCTGTGACCTCTGACATCTTGATGTGCAAACTGACTGGAGGGGGCTCAAACTTCACTGAGATGTTTTTACTCCCGTTTGATTCCTTATTTACTCTGTCAAAGATAACTTGATACTCGTCCATTGTGCGCCTTGAAGTTGAAAGCTTGTAATGATGCCATTCCTGTAAGCGGTGTTACCAGCAGGTTTGGCTGATGAACTTCAGTCAGTGTGTTTTTTCTCATGTGTTTGAATATGTTTCCATTCATGTGTTCCACCTAAGCTTTTAACATGTATGTTGCTAGAGCAGTTGTAGCTAGTGGACATGTGGTTGATTATTAAAAATACTACATTCAGTTAATGTTTGGATCTATCAAAATGCAAGGATGTTTTTTTTATACTGCTCTGCACATTTGTTATGTAATAGAAATGTGATCACCCTATCTTTTACATCAATATCTGTTTTCTTTGATGTCAACTGAGGAGGTCATATCTTCTTAATAGAACATCTGATCTTAAGTGGCTCACTATAATGAATAGAATATATCTAATAAGAGTGCATTACATTTAATGTTTCAAATACATGCCGTTGTATTACATAAACAAATAATACAATCAACTCCTAATCATTCAAATAAAAGCCTTATATGATTTTGAGTGTGTCTGTTTGTGTGTGGACTGCCGAGGACCACAAGATGGAGCTGCAGACCAGAGGACATTGAAAAACAAGCTGTGTCTGTTATGTAGCACATAAGATGTCATGGAGCAAAACACATTAACTACAACAAAAATAATCTTTATGCTGTCCAGTTCAGATTTCAGGACGCTGTTTTTGGTTAGGCTAAGCAATGCTAAATGTTGGTGTCATTGGGCTAAACGTATTATAGTAATAACAGTAATTATACATAAATGACAATTACAACTATTAGGACTTTTGTTATTATTATTTTGTTAAACCAGAAGGCTAATACTGCAACAATTGCAGGTTGGTTCAGTGATCATGTCTTTTCCCATTTAGCATGAACGCAGCATCGTTCAATCACATTTCAGGGATAGGTGAATTATAACCTGGCTGTATTTCGGCAAAAATAATCCAATCACCGAGTTTACAATTCTGTCACGTGGGGCACGTCTTGAGAGAAAATCAATTCACTTTCCATAGGCTATTATTCTTATTTTTAGTTGAATTCAGCGACTATGCATTGTTCCCAAATGGAAAAACTAAGCACATTTTGTACGCTGTAATTCATTCGCGACTGGATTGTATTCCATGGCAACTGTGGCGGAGGCTCGTGGATGTGGTTTTAGGAGTAGCTTGCCAACTCAAAATGACACAAAACATTATTTATTAGAAGGCTCCGATTAATGAAAGAGGATGTCCTTTCCTTGTGGTACAATACTTCTATATGATGCGACGTTTTACAGAATAGATGGGGATAAGTAGGTCTACTTCCGGTTCCTCCCACGTAGAAGGGTCTAGCCAGTCACAGCGCTGTTACGGGAAGCTCGTAGGCTCAAACAGCTGTTAAACCCTTCGCGATCAGCGATCCCGACGGTCCGATATTCTTCCGGTAGCGAGCATGGGGCCGCTATTCAAGGCAAAGGCGCTGCTTGTGTCGGTCGGTGAGGTGTTGCAGTGTGCCTTTGGTCGGTAGTGACGGACAGACGGACAGCTGGCTGAGCGGAGAGCCTCGGCAGAGAACGGCTCAGTTGGCGACTTCAAGGCGACTGCTGTGATGCTACGTAGGCAGCTGGAAGAAATGGGATTTCCTGCTATGAGAGAGAGTCTTTGAGCCCGGAGCCTCGGACTTGCCTCTTCTATTTTACCTTATTTTTAACTGAGTTGGTTGGTTTGCTTTACAGACGCGGTGCTGTTCGGATAGCTACAGAGGGCACTGGTCGCTTGGGGAAGCTTTGGGGAATGGCAGGTCGAAGCCGAAGAGCCTGGTTTAGTGTTCTGCTGGGGTTGGTGGTCGGGTTCACGCTGGCTTCCAGACTCGTCTTACCCAAGGCGACCGAGCTAAAGAAAGCCGGACAGAAACGGACGGCGAACCCTGCAGGCTGTGGACTGAACGGGGGTCACAGGAAGGAATACGACGGAGTACTATGGCCACCGCAAGATAACAGTTTACCGGCGACCGAGAAGCCTGGCTCCGGGTCCAATCATTTCCTGTTCGTCGGTGTGATGACTGCCCAGAAGTACCTGAACAGCCGGGCTGTGGCGGCTCATCGGTGAGTGTCTCAGCGTGGAGCTGCCGGGGCTCTGTACACCTGTAGGCTGCCTTCTCTGTCGGCTCACCTTTAGGAACATGGACCAATAAACAGAGGTGGAAGAAGTACTCAGATGTTGTACTTTTAAGTAAAAGAGTGTATTAATACTCTGTTACAAGTAAAAGTCCTGCATTTAAATGTTACTCAAGAAAAGAAGCATCAAAATATAGTGAAAGTAGCGACAGTAAAAGTATTCGTTGTGCAGATTGGTCCATTTCAGAATAATATATATGATATGTTTTATAATGATTGATCATGAAAGTGTTCTCAAAGCTGGTAAAGGTGCAGCTAGTTTGAATGACTTTGTATACTGCAGGGTAGCTGGTGGATTTACTCCAGGTGGAACTAAAGTCTGATTTAACACTTGATTATATTTCACATCATTCATCCACATCTGTGAAGTAACTAAAGGGATTAAATACATGTAGTGGAGGAAAAGTACACAATTTAAAAGTCTCTCAAAATTGCCAGTCCCAATAAATCACTTTCGATGGGCTGCATGGTCTTTCATAGATGCCATTATCACCACCCAATGTCAGAGTGTGTCATTGGTTCTCACTGATGGCAGGCTCCCAGTACTCTATTTAAAACCCTTTTTAGGGAATTCACAAGCAAACACAACATTTGACTAATGCAGAGTGTGGGATATGGTGTTTTACTGCTGGGCGGGCATTACTCGAAGAGCCCTGTGAATCGTCGTGTTTCCAGTATATCAAATACTAATTTAGCCCTTTAAAAGGACAGTCTGCCAGAGACCCAGTGATATCTCAAAATGACTTGTTTGTTCAGACTAACAAAGGTGTAGTCACATTCATTGACAGTGCTTTACAAATGAGAAATACATTAATAGACACATTTTTAGCATTTAGTGCCCAGTGGCACGTTTTTAACTCTGTTCCAGGGATCATAATGTTATATCAGTCTTTAGTCCAACACAGATTGCCTTTACATTTCAGCAGCCCTCTGATAGATTCTCAGACGTTGTTTCTGAGGCTGGCAGATTTACATGTGCTGTAGAGACCTGTGTCATTCACACCCCAGACAGAAGCTCAGCACCGTCACTTCCGCCCAGATGCTCCAGCCCTGAGATTAGCAGCTGTTCTCCTGGAAATAATAAGTAGCACTTGGACAAGCAGATACTCATAATGTCTGAACTCTATGAACAATATTATTTCCTGTGTGTAGTGATGTAAATGTTTAAATGAAGGCCTGAACATCTTCCAACAGGACTGTGATGTTGTTGCAGGAGAGTGTTTTATAGTGAAGGCCTCCTCTACTGTTTTTATTTTCAATCAGGACCCATGGTCTGTGAATGAAGTCAACATGCGAACTGTTCATTCTGTTAAACAGCTCTTTTTACCTAGGTCTGAATTGAAATGCCTAACAGTACTATCATCTTTTTGATGAGTTCATCCTAAAGAAACGCTCGGAGTGAATTAAAGGTACTCCTGGAAGGCAGCGATACAGTGTAGATGTAAAGGGCTTTTATTGTGAAAGGCAGGAACGGAAGGAGCTGTTGTCCTTTAACAGTCTGGAAGCAATACAGTTTTCCGTCTTGTTTCGGACTACAGAGACTCAATGTTATTGTTATATGATCTTGATGAGTAAAGGCTCATAGCGCTTGGCTGCAGTCATGTTTCACTCCGAGTCTGCGATGTCCACAAGAGAACATGTTCTGACAATGTTTTACACCGCTTAGAGAAATACAAATGTAGTGGATAGCAAAGCAACTCATCAGACAAGGGGATGTGGTTCATCACCATATATTAATACATTACAGTACAACAAACTTTTCAGATAAGTTTTGTTTTGGGCAACTTTGATCTTCCCCCAGAAAGGCACGGATGTCAAATGCAGGATGTAGATTTGATCAGCTGCTCATGTTGAACATCAATATGACTTCCTGTTGGGTTTACGATATGCCTCGCGCTGACTTTTTTGTGCGTCCCGTCATGCTACATATGTAGAGTTTCAGACTTTTAGGTGAAAGCACAACCAAACGCTGCTTGTTAGGGCGCGCTATAGAGCCTGTTTGTGCGCAAATGACGAAACCCCCAATAGAAATATATATTTACACCTGACCCGACAAGTGTTAAAAAAACATCCGTCTTTTACTTTTTCTAAGGCCCTCAAAAAGACAATTCATTTGGTAGAAAAAATCATTCCTAGGATTACAATAGGTCTTCGACTTTGTCGAGCTCAGGCCCTGATGAGCCAACATGTGGCGTTAGTGCACACAGTGTAAACTCTATTCTCTTGCTATTACTATTCAGCCCACATTCTACTTTGTTCCCATTGCACAGAGTACAGTTACTAAGACAACAAATGCATTTCAGCAGAGTACATACAAAATGAACAGAAGAGACACTAGAGAATAAATGTAGAACAAACATTAAGGCATTTCTATGAAAAAGTTTATAGATATTTATGAGGTAGGTAACATGAGCTGATGCATATTACAAAAAATCCTGCTTATCCATCATTTCCCTTTTCTTGACTCTGTGTGTTCACAGGACGTGGGCGCAGACAGTTCCAGGACGTGTAGAGTTCTTCTCCAGCGAAGGCTCTGACACCTCTATACCCATTCCCATAGTGGCTCTGAAGAATGTAGATGACTCTTACCCACCGCAGAAAAAGTCCTTCATGATGCTAAAGTACATGCATGACCATTACCTGGACAAGTACGAGTGGTTCATGAGGGCCGATGACGACGTCTACATCAAGAGTGAGAAGCTGGAGAGCTTCCTGCGCAGCCTCAACAGTAGTGAGGCCATCTTTCTGGGACAAACAGGCATGGGGGCCCGGGACGAGCTGGGTAAACTAGCTCTGGAGCCTGGGGAAAACTTCTGCATGGGGGGGCCAGGGGTCATCATGAGCCGTGAGGTCCTCAAGAGGATGGTGCCTCACATTCGAGAATGTCTACAGGAGATGTACACCACCCATGAAGACGTGGAGATTGGCCGCTGTGTCAGGAGGTTTGCCGGGGTCCAGTGTGTCTGGTCCTATGAGGTAAGATGTTGTCATTCACATACTTCATATATGAAGCAGTCTCTCAGTTCCCACTGTGTGTGAAGGGATACTTTACAAGTTGCATAAAACAAAAAAGTTTGACCTCAGAAACTGCACAGTTGATTACATTCAGTCAGAATTGAAGATGCAAGAGAAAGAAGGGCCTAATTTGGCCTGGTGGCCTTCTGGTCTGTCACACCGCTCATGGCATGTGCTTCTCCTGAAACACAGGAAATGAGTTCCACTACAGCAGCTGAAGCTTCACAGAGAGCTGTGTGACTGCTCAACCCTGTCTTTCCTATGTTTTATACACATTTGTTGGCAGTTATGTCTCACTGAAATGAAGTTGTTGCTGAGAAACAAAAGAGCATACAGGAAGAGTTCTATAAATAGAACAACCGCCCTGTTCTTTTGGCTCTGGTGCCATACGTTGTTCCAGAGGAGCCTATCGCAACATGCGTTGGATACGAGGCACTTAGAGGCAGGCAGATACCCTTATAAAGGCTGCTGGTCTATTCCGCTTTATTTATACTCAAAAGCTGTTGAGACTGCAGGCAGAGACTTTTCTGCCCAGCTTGTTCTCCGTTACATTATTACCCAAACAGCCAGGGGCCGTGTCAACTATTCTTTGAAGAAGCTAGCAAGTCATAAATCAAACATAGCTGCATGCTCTGCTTTACAGCATCTTAATGCTGAGAAACCACTGTTGTGTAAATGATAATAGTTAACGGCTGTTTGACCCTCACTGTGGTCTAAACGAAGTTTCATACAGATGTTTGCAGCGGTCTAGTTATCAACAGAGCAACATGATGTCTCAGCAGGAGAATCCGTGTCTTCGTTCTTTGGTTATTCCGTTTCAAAACCGAATAGGAACAACTCAAAACTCGTGTTGTTATTCCGTTTTAAAACCAAAACGGGAAATCGAATAAATCAACTTTTTGGTTTTGTTTGACTAAGAGGACGTGTATCTTCGGACCATTTGTTTTTCTATATTTATTTACATGTAAATGCGAAGCTCTCGGAAGTGATTTAAAAACAAAAGCACTCGTATGCTAAAATACACTTGCATTGAAGCACTACAGTATCCGGTTAAAAGAACCGTGATAATATCATAAACAAGGTGAATTTAGGCTAGTTCCTTGCGCTCACAACGATGAGCGTCGTATATCTGTGTCTAAAACGGACAACATTGTTAGGAGATTTAAACTATACAGCGATTCTGCACTGCGGTCACTCAGCCGCCTCGCGTTCGCTTGGTCAAATCAGAAGCGCTTCATTTTTTGAAGCTGCAATGACTGGGGCTGATGGGAAGAGGAGGCTTTCTTAAGGTTTTTTAATATTATAAAAAATAGCACTCTTGTACTCAGAACAAATCCAACGCGAGGCCATTTTAGACATAGAGATACTACGCTTAGAGGCTTATCGTGGTGACGCGAGGAACTAGCCTAAATTCACCTGGTGTTCCGTTGTTTATAATATGATCACGTTTCCTTTAACCAGATACTGTTGTGCTTCAATGCAAGTGCTTTTGTTTTGAAATCACTTCGAGAGCTTCGCGTTTACTTGTAAATAAATAAAAACAAATGGTCAAAAAGTTGTTCCCATTTTGGTTTTAAAACAGAAAAACAAAACAAGTTTTTAGTTTTTCCTACTCGAATAACCAAAGAACCAACCATACACGGATTCAGGAGGCTCTGGCTGTTTCTCAATGTCGAGTAAGGCTGCTCCAGAGCCACTATTTCAAGCATAGAGTGCCGCCCAAGTACTGTTCCAATGTCCAGCATACTTGGAATTCTACCGAGCCCGGCGTACTTCGTTTGGAGAAATGTCGAGGCTGCACATGTGTAGACTCCGCGGTCTTAAAATCCCCACAATGCTTTGCACACGGACCAATTTCCCCAAATCTGTGGTGGAAAGTGTAAGGCGGGGCCTCTCATATGACGCACACCTGCACACTTGCTCGCCTGTTCTTCTCTTCGTTTTCCGAATGCCAGGAAGGATTCTTGCCTCGCTTCTGAAGCAAGTGACTCGAAGACATGTCCTACCAAGGAAGCGTACTCGACATTGAGAAACACCCTCTGTCTCCGTTTGCTCTGCAGCTTTCTAGTCGTATCTTTCCAGATGACCTTGACATGTGTCAGTGTACTCCTTCCGTTTTTGTGAAACAAAGCAGACCTACATTCAAGATCACTCTTTTGAACAGGAAATCCAATAGTCCTGAAATGCATCGTCATCTTAATGTTTCAGAGCCCTCTTAAAGGTCCTACATTTCTACATCATCAGACAGACAAGCTCATTCTAGAGAATCTAGACCAAGAGACGGGAAGTAACTGCCCACACTCATGAGCCATGTCTCAACATGCTCTTATCTGCTCACCCCCCCTCCCACACACACACACACACACACACACACACACACACACACACACACACACACACACACACACACACACACACATTCTGTCTGACTCTCTTTTTTTTAATTGCAGTTAATGAAATATTTAGATGTATCACATTGTGGATCATATACAGTATATAAAACAAATGATTTGTATAAACTTGTGTCTGTGTCAATAAGAGTGACGTGTGTGAAGATGAATACATTAACATTGTGTTTGAGTTTCAGTCCTGAAACTTCAGATGAGTGAAGTAACTTCTTGTTAAAGGTGTGTAAATGAAATTAGACATTGTTAGTCTGTTGACTTGCTTATGAGGAATGACTCTGTGATCAGAGGCTGTCTAGTTGGATATCTTTATATCCGTTGTCTCACTTAGTTAAATAATAATGTTTGAGTTTGAATATGAAATGGAGTTGTTCACTCGGCGCTCTGTGCTCCCCCTCTGTCCCTCCTCAGTACTGGCTCTGCACCTTGTTTACACTCGTCATCCAGAAGCCAACAGAAATGGAAGGCCAGAAGTGCTGAATTAGCACAAGTTACAGCTACAAGTGCAGGCTGTGTGTGGTAGCAGCAGCAAGCACTGCTCTGCAGGATGGTTGCATTCTGGGAGATTTTAGAAGTCTACTAGCGACCGCTGCAACCTTACTATAGGGGGACTTTCCTCATTGAGGGGCACTTTGTGTCATCATTTGGTCTTATACATGTTGCATAGGATCTGCTTTTCCACTGCATGGCCCTGGCACCTCCCCCTGTGTTACTTTGTAACCTTTTTTTTTCTTCAGACATGCTCCTTCTTTAAACTTCATCAAACTATGGAGCAACCTCAGAAAGGTTAGTCAGTGTCTGGCCAAGTCATTCATCGGAGTTGGGGGGTATCGAGTAAACACTTGATGACTGGCTTTTGATCACAAAAGCACCTTAGTGACTCCTAAATACATACCATCATGCAATCACACCATTCCAATGATACTACTGTTACATCTTAACTTAACCTCATAAATGACTTATAATCTCTGGCCAGAAACTAAATGAAAAAGACCAAGACCCAGGAACCCCTTCCTGAATGTTAAAGCCTGCTGACTTGACTGTATGAGGTGAGCAGCAGCCTGCTGTACTCGGGAGCCCTGAGACCTTCCCTCCCCCACCCTGCATGCCAGCTCACAAACAAGCTCCAACACAGCTAATGGGAATCACAAGGCTGCACTGCTGAGAGCTGAGTCCACCTCCTAATCCTCACCTCTGCTGAGCGGCCCCCTCACTGTGCTGCCTGCCACAGCACTGCCGCTCATTCAGGATTAACTGGGTTCCAATGTATTCCTTCTTATCTTAATGTCATTTGTACATATCAAAAGCTACACATGGCTTCATATCTTACATAAAGTGTCTGGCCTACAGTGGTACATACAGCATGCATACAGGCAAATGTACTGAACTGAAAATGGATCATTTAATATTTGTACTGGTCAGTTTAACCAGTGATTACATTTGAACAAATTCACCAAGTGCCTGCACTTTGCAGAAGAAATGTCTATTGTGGAAGGTTTCAAAGATCAGATCAAATTTGTATAAAATCATGAGGGAAAAATCCACAGACACCGGCTGAGGGGGTGGCCGATGCCTCGCATGTTCATCACAGATGTGCCAAACATGTGGACCTGTTGGGAGCTACAGACGGTGCGCAGAGAGGTCCAGATACAGCACATTAGATCCTGCGAGACCCTTTTCATTCTGGCCATCCTCTTGATACGTTTGTATTTGAAGAAATGACTGAAGCACAGCCATGTGATCATGGAGTTTTTACCCTGACAGAGGATTTCGCCGCGAGGATGGGTGCAGAGACTTGCGGCAAATTTGTTCAGTTTTGTTTCTATGGTTACCACCTTTGCTAGCTTGAGCCGCTTGCTGCACTTAGTTATTTGTAAGGTGTAGTGCAGGCTGTGGTTGTGCACACCACATTATTTAAAATAAAAGAAGATGTGAATTATAAAAAGTATTGCCATTTGGTAAACTCATTATAGCAACCATCCCAGAAAAGGTGAAAAACTATAAGTAAATGTTGCTTTGAGAAGCCATGCTGCTGGCCCGGGCCCAGCTGAGGTTCAGTGTGTCCCTGCAGAGAGAGGGCCAGGCTCCTCCTCCATCTCCATCCCACTGCCAACTCATGCTTTCCTTTTTTTACACCGCCTCCTTCTTTTCCGCTCTGATTGTATGCTTAGCAACTCTGAAGGACTGTTGAAGCAGAATGCTGACATGTTCTCTGCTTTCACTCCTCCAGCTACAAAGCCACAGCTTTCATTTTTATACTTTTTGAGTGAACTGAAAGAATGTGTATGAAATCATATCTGATCTGATAAGACACACTTGGCATTATGCGTATGAATGGTGCCTTTGTTTGTAGCTGATCACATGAACTGTCTTTACTTTTTTACTAAAGTCAGCATCCAGCTCTGTCTCCATGTGTTTCCTGTCTATGAATTGTCATGAGCATAGACGAGTCTTCCCTGTAGTTCTCTTCCAGTTTCCCTTTCTTCCTCTCCTGTAGTCAGAAGCCGTCTCCTCTCCTGTCTGCTTGGCACTCTAAACTGTGCCAGTCCAGGCCTG